CAAATGGAAAATAAACAGCGTGCGATAGCAAAGAATATCCGTTGTAACAAATGGAATTAAACTAAATCATGATAGTTATAATCATATTACCACAATCAGTAGTAGGAGAATCAATGGTGATAGTGTATTTGGTGGTATCGTGGGTACAATTTCGCCATTATCACTACTATTCCCATCCGTTATGTTATCTTCTTTTTTGCTATATTGTTTTCTTTTTTTGCTATGTTGTTTCCTTTTTCGCTATGTGTGTTTTCTGTTATGTTTTCTTTTTCGTTATGTTTTCTGTTATGTTGTTTTCTCTTTCGTTATGTTTTCTTTTCTGTTATGTTGTTTTCTCTTTCGTTATGTTTTCTTTTTCAATATGTTGTTTCCTTTTTCTTCATGTCGATTTCTTTTTCGTGATGTTTTCTTTTCTGTTATGTTGTTTTCTTTTTCTCTATGCTGTTTTCCTTTTCGTTATGCTGTTTTCTTTTTCGGTATATTGTTTTCTTTTCTGTTATTTTTGGTTTATTTTTCGTTGTGTTTTCTCTTCTTTTTCTGATGTTTCTCGTTATTTTCTTATGCTGTTTTTCCTTTTCGTTATGCTGTTTTCTTTTCGTCTGTTATTTTTGGTTTATTTTTCTTTCTCTTCTTTTTTTTCGTTATGTTTTCTTTTCTGTTATATTGTTTTCTTTTTCGTTGTGATTTCTTTTTCGTTATCTTGGTTTCTTTTTCGTTAAACTTACGATTATAATTATAATTATTTTATAATTATCACGGTTCTCTTTATTGTCTGTTATCGCTATTACTGTTATCATCATCATCATCATTATCACTAATAGTATTATGTTTCATGTTCATCAAAACTGTTATAAATATTCGTGTAATTACTATTAACATTTCTTTCGTATTTATTATTATCGTTTTAAGTTTTCATGATATTATTAATGTTATCCTAAATTATTATCTATTTTTTTTCATTAATCTACTGATGATTTTTATAAGAAATTTAAATCAGTATATATACACTGACACAGTTTACATTTACATGCTAATGTTACACGTGTCATTAATTTACATATTATGACGTATACGTGGATATAAACATGGACAGTGCGAATCCATCTCTCTCTCTCTTTCTCATTTTCTATTTTTTACTTTTTATCCTTCCTTTTTCTCTCATCTCTCTCCTCTCTCTCGTCTCTTCTCTCTCTCTCTCTCTCTCTCTCTCTCTCTCTCTCTCTGCTCTCTCTCTCTCTCTCTCTCTCTCTCTTCTCTTTCTCTTTCTTCTTCTGTCTTTCTCCTCTCTCTCTTCTCTCTTCTCTCTCTCCCTGCTCTCCTCTCTCTCTCTCTCGTCTCTCTCTTCTCTCTCTCTGTCGTCTGCTCTCTCTCTCTCTCTCTCTCTCTCTCTCTCTTCTCGTGTTTCTTTCCTTCTTAATCTTCCTCTCTTCCTCTCTCCTCTCTTCTTTCGTCATCTCTCTCTCTCTCTCTCTCTCTCTCTCTCTCTCTCTCTCTCTCTCTCTCTCTCTCTCTCTCTCTCTCTCTCTCTCTCTCTCTCTCTCTCTCTCTCTCTCTCTCTCTCTCTCTCTCTCTCTCTCTCTCTCTCCTCTCTCTCTCTCTCTCTCTCTCTCTTCTCTCTCCTCTCTCTCTCTCTCTCTCTCTCTTAATCCTTCTCTTTCTCTTTCTCTCCTCTCTCTCTCTCTCTCTCTCTCTCTCTCTCTTCTCTCTCTTCTCTCTCATCTCTCTCTCTCTCTCTTCTCTCTCTCTCTCTCTCTCTCTCTCTTCTCTCTCTCTCTCTGACTCTCTCTTTTTTTCTTTCTCTCTTCTATCTCTGTCTCTTCTCATTTTTTCTCTTCTTTTTTTTTTATTATACATAGATATATACACACCGATAGGACAACCAGTCACCCTCCCTTCTTCTCCCGTAATTGAGTGTTCAGCCAATCACAAGGAAGCTTACAGAACACACCTCCACTTCTTTCAGCCAACCACCATGAAGCTTCTTAAGCACACACCCATCGCAGGCAGCCAATCGCCTTGAAGCTTACATCCCTCTCACCACCTTTTTTAGCCAATCACCGTGAAGTTTAAGAGACACACCCCTGTTACGACCAATCAAATTATTTTTTTTTTAACAGATAAAGGGCTTAGCTGTTCTTTTTAATTTACGCGGGAAAAGGGATATAAATATTTTGATATATGACATACGGTTTAATCATCTCTTATTTCTTTATTTCTCTGTCTCTCTTTGTCTTTCTTTCTCTCTTGTCTGTTCTGTCTCTTGTCTCTGCTCTCTCTCTCTCCTCTCTCTCTCTCTCTTCTCTCTCTCTCTCTCTTCTCTCTCTCTCTCTCCTCTCTCTCTCTTCTCTCTCTCTCTCTCTCTCTCTCTCTTTCTTTCTCTCTCTCTCTTCTCTTTCTTTCTCTCTCTCTCTCTCTTCTCTTTCTTCTTTCTCTCTTTCTCTCTCTCTCTCTCCTCTCTCTCTCTCTCTCTCTCTCTCTCTCTCTCTCTCTCTCTCTCTCTCTCTCTCTCTCTCTCTCTCTCTCTCTCTCTCTCTCTCTCTCTCTCTCTCTTCTCCCTCCCTCCCTCCCTCCCTCCCTTTCCCTCCCTCCTCCCTCCTCCTCCTCCCTCCCTCCCTCCCCCTCCCTCCCCCCCCTTCCTCTCTCTCTCTCTCTCTCTCTCTCTCCTCTCTCTCCTCTCTCTCTCTCTCTCTCTCTCACTCTCCTCTCACTCTCACTCTCACTCTCACTCTCTCTCTCTCTCTCTCTCTCTCTCTCTCTCTCTCTCTCTCTCTCTCTCTCTCTCTCTCTCTCTTCTCTCTCCTCTCTCTCTCTCCCTCTCCCTCCCCCCCCCCTCTCTCTCTCTCTCTCTCTCTCTCTCTCTCTCTCTCTCTCTCTCCTCTCTCTCTCTCTCTCTC